AAATTAAATACATATAATGACATGATTTCTCTACCCACGTGTATATAAAATTAATTGTATGATTATAGCATGATGTTATGATAGTGTGATGTATATTACAAATTAGGGTAATTTTTTTTTTCTCAATTTTTTTGTTATTTGTTGCTTTTGTTTGATGATATCACATTTTATAATAATCATTATTTAAAGTGATAGTATGACATTTAATAATAATAGTTAATATATCCTTTGTTAATTTATTTATTGTTATTTTGCAAGTACAATAGCAACAACATATTGGAGATTGATTTATTTCAATTTAAATATGTAATTTATAATTTGATTTATTTTTATTATTTACAACTAAAAGGATTATATATAAATGCTTACATTTTTATGTCCAAAAATTCAAATAAAGTGCATGATTTGAGGTTGTAATTTAATTAAAAAATAGAATATAACATTTTCAATATAATAGGATATATGATTAAATGCTGAAAATTTTGGAGGGAAGTGAAATAATCTGTTTAAATGCATTGGAGGGAAGCGAAATAATATAAGTAAATGCATTGGAGGGAAGTGAAATAATATAATTAAATGCTGAAAAAATTGGAGGAAAAATATAATTAAATGCATTAGAATAAAATTAAATGTTGTTCTGCCAAATTATATATCTATAGATTATTATTATTATTATTATTATTATTATTATTATTATTAAAACAATTGTTTATAAGATTCTAAAGTTGTTTGACTATGCTATTAAAATAATTTACTAATTGTTTTTTTCTTAAAAATCACGAGATACAAAAGAAAATGATAATATTGATGTTAAAATAAATAACTTAAAACAATTGCTTATAATTATGTAATTTATATTTATTGTGAATTATTATTAGTTGGTATTAGCAATAACTATTATATAATATAATAGAAACATACATGATTACAATCAATACAGTGTATTAATGTGAAGTAAAAAACTATTAATGATAAATTTTGTAACTGAAAATAGAGGAAAAATCTTAGAAGTTTTATTAAATAGGTTTTATTAAATGCTACATGCCATCAATTATATATATATATATATATATATATAGGGTTGGCTTCACATGAGAATGGTTCCCAATGAAAGAAATAAGAATAAATCCTAGCCATTAAATTAGATGATCCAACAATTTAAAAAAAAAAGTCAAAATTGTACATTCATTAATGTCATTATGGTAAATATACACACAACACAAAAAAGATGGTCCCACTCCACATTAACCCACAACCAACCCCACCCACCCGTCATTCCCGTCAACCATATCCCTCCCCCCACACTCCTTTCTCTCTTTCACACACAAACAACACACAGTATACCTCTCACACGCACGCACACACACACACTGCACACTCTAAACACACACTGGAGTCTGGACACAGACACAACGTGCTGTCGGCCGCCACACATTGAGCACACACAGTTGCACGCCCTACCCGTGGCCGCCACCTGCCGCCGGTCTCTCCGCCGGACTCGTCGCCGGTCTCGCCGCCGATATCGCACTTCATTTCAAACAAACACACAGTTGGGAGCCGATGACCACTCGACCACGCCGATCGCCGGCGTCCTCCAGACGTTTCGTCGCCGACCAAGACTGGAATACAGCGCCTGCAAATCGAACCTCAAGCTCAATGTTAATAGCGAATTAAAAATTTAAAAAAAAAAATAAAACTCTCTTTCCACCTCATCACTCCGATAGGGCGGGGCAGGCCGGAAGCGGCGCGATTTTCAAGCGCCGGTGACGGTGGCAGTGATTCTGGACGGGAAAGATGAGATTGGATTAAGGGACCTACTTTGAAGAATTTGATAAGTGGGAAGGACTTGAGTGCAATTTTATATATTTGCATAATATTTCAATTCTACCTACATGTCAAATCTGTAATTTTTGAAAATTTATAAAAAATATGATTTTTCATTTATTACATTTTTCATATATACTGTAAAATAAAATTATTATATAAAAACAAAAAAAAAATATTAAAAAAATATAAAAATAATAAATAAAAATATTGAATGCTAAATTAATTTTTTAAATATAAAATATTTTTTTTAACAATAAAGACTACAAAAATATATAAAAAATATTAAAATAGTAATATACTTTTAATTATAAATAATAAAATATTTTAATTATTTAGCTAATTTAATGTATAATTATATCTATTAAAACTCATTTCAAATACACATAATGTACATGCATCGTATAAAGTAGTGCACTTTATAAAACAACACGTTGCAATTTATAAAACAAAACGCTGCACTTTATAAAGCAAAATATTGCACTGTATAAAACAAGCTACACTTTATCACCACACTCAACAATTGACTTCAATAGATCCGCCAAAAATACTACGCAACATAAATCTAATTTTAACATCAATCACATCATCTATCAAAAAAAAAAAAAAAATTAATTAATAAAAACACAAACATCATAACGTACCAAAATTACAACAGTACACTTTATATATCACCACGCTACACTTTATAAAATAATATGTTGCACTTTATAAAACAACACGTTGCACTTTATTACGACTATCAAATCGCACAAATAATAAACGAAACCAACCGAGCTCACAATTTTTTCAATGAAAAATAATATAAAAATAATAAATAAAATTGTTACCTCGTTTAATATAATTTTAATATAAATAACAAATTATTTCTCCAACAATCACAATAAATTACCTTGTTTATAAACACACTCTACAATTAATGTAAACAAATCACGCCAAAATATTACGCAATATGAATATAAAAAACGGATCGACATAATAATTTATTATCCATCACATTATATATCAAAAAAAAAAGCACATTCGTGATAACATACTAGAATATCAGTATTGCACTTTATATATCAATAAATTGCACTTTATACAACAATATGTTGCAATTTATAACACAACACGTTGCACTTATCAAAATTTCAGTAATTATAATAATCGATTGCATAATATTAGTTGGTTAATGTCAGAATTAGTTTTTTTTTTTATAAACTATACGGAAAAATATTACCGATTATTTATTTATTTATTTATTATAATTAATACTATTTTTTATCTATATTTTTTATGTATTGCACATTATGGTTATTCGGATTGCACACAACTGTCTATCACATTGCACAAAAATGAAGAATTTTTATATTTTTGTTCTATATTATTATTATTATTATTATTATTATTATTATTATTATTATTATTATTATTATTATTATTATTATTATTATTATTATTATTATTGTTGTTTGTTATTATTATTATTAT